AGCAGGCGCACCTGGTAAGGCTCATCCTGCATCCTGCGCAGGGCCAGGGCCTGCGCGCCCAGCGTGCCCACGATGCCGTCCAGGGCCTCCGTGCTGCTCAGCCACTTCCTGCGCATCAGCTTGCTGAAGTGTGGCTGGGGGGACAGAGTGGAGGGAGGGTCATACGCCCCTCCTGCCACCCCTTCCTTCAGCGAGTATTCCGACACAGGTTCCCAAAGGCTGCCCAGTGCCGGGGCCACAGCCCTGCCTTCCTGGGGTCAGAGTCCAGGGAGGGGGACAGACCCTGTCCCCAGACCGTGATGACCCGGAGTGTGCAGGGCTGAGACCCGGAGCCCAGGCAGGGGTTTAGGAAGCTCAAGAGTCAGCAGAGAATCAAGGAGGACTTCCTGGAGGAGGAGACATCAGCGCCGAGGCCCTGATGATGGTCACTGTCAGCCAGATGGCAGAGGGAGTGGCCCAACCAGAGGGAAGGGTGAAGAAGGTTCAGATTTCAGACGGGCTTGCGGGTCAGAGGACCAGAAAGCAGATCGGGTGTGACTGGCAAGACCAGCTATGTAATTCTCAGGGCCCAGTGCAAATGAAAGTGGGAGACCCTTATTCAAGACTCACTAAGAACTTCAAGACAGACAGCAGAGAATGAAACCACGCTCAGGCCCTTGTAAGCAGTGGGGCCCTGTGTGACTGCTCAGCTCACAGGGCCACCACTGGTGGTAGGACGGGGGGCCAGGGGGCAGAGCAGAGCACACAGGGCCTTCTCGGCTGTGTGAGAAACCCCAGCTTTCTCCTGGGGGCACCGGGGAGCCATAGCAGGTTCTGAGCAGAAGGGGGAGAGGGCCAGGTTTGTGTTTTACCGAGTTTGATAGGAGGGAGCAAGATTGAGGCAGAAATCAGGGGTGAGGCTGGAAGGAAGAAAGGGGGGGTGACAGGAAGAATGTAAGGTGGTATGAGCACACGATGCAGTGAATGACCATGGGGGGGGGAGGCTTCTGGGTGAGACCCAGGAGATGGGGGTGAGTGTCCACGGGGGACTGAAGCAGGTCCCTATCCCACTCGGCCCTGCACCCCCTTTCTGCTCTCTCCTGACAGCAGCCCAGTTTTCTGAACCTCCAGAAATGGGGCCTGTGGGCTTTTGTCGAAAAGCTGGTGTGAATGGTACATGTCACTGTTGCTACGAAGTCTGTACATTTATGAAAATAACGATGGCCAATACCATGGGCCGGACCCAAGCCAAGCACTGGTGGGCACAGTCCCATTGCTTCCTCACAGCCCCTGGGAAGCCGGGAACTCTTGTCCCTCTGTCTAAACAGCGGCCCTGAGAGGACCAGCAATTTAGCCAAGCCTGCAAGCAAGTAGCGGGGCCTGGAACAAAGACTATATCCTCTTCCCAGCATCCCCACACGCACTTCCATCCACATACTTATTCATTTAGTCACTCAGCAAACCCTCTCTGAGCCTTCCTGTGGGCCCGGCCCTGGGTGGATCACTGGGGACACAGAGCAGAAGGAGACAAACAAACACTTGATCATCGTAAGGTCAGAGGGTCTGAAAGCGGTGCGGCGTCTGATGACATGAGGAGTTATTGTTCTTTGTGTCGGGGACAAACTTGGTTTTGTGGTTCTGTTTGTTTAGCGAGGACGCCTTATCTCCTGGAGATGCAGCTGCGGGGCTGATGGATGGTGACAGATGTCAAGGGTCTGCGGGTAAAGGAGCCACGGCAGGAGGAGGCGGGGGGGATAAACAAGCCTGGCCCCGGGCTGACTTGCTGGAGCTGGGAGATGGGTCCGCAGAAGGTCATTCTGTCATTCTGCCTAGTTTTGTGTATGTTTGAAATTTTCCGTAATAAGCAGTTATTTTAGAAACATTCCAACAAATCCTCGCTCTTGAGAAACTAGCATTCCAGTGGGAAGAGACAGATGAAAAAAAACAACAAAACCAAAAGATACAGCATGGTAGGTGGCCGTAGGTGCTTTGGTGACCAATAGAGCAAGAGTGAGGAAGGGAGCCCTAGCCGGTTTGGCTCAGCGGATAGAGCATCGGCCTGCGGACTGAAGGGTCCCAGGTTCGATTCTGGTCAAGGGCATGTATCTCAGTTGCAGGCTTCTCTCCATCCCAGGCCCTGGTCAGGGTACGTGCAGGAGGCAACCAACCGATATGTTTCTCTCACATCAATATTTCTCTCTGTCTTTCTCTCTCTCTTCCACTCTCTCTAAGATCAATGGAAAAATATCCTTAGGTGAGGATTTAAAAATAATAAAAATAAATAAATAAATAAAGGAAATAAAAAAAAAAAGAAGTGAGGAAGGGATTTTATTTTATTTTTATTTATTGAGCTGAGAGAGAGAGAGAGATATGTTGTTCCACTGATTTATACACTGATTGGTTGATTCTTGTATGTGCCCTGACCAGGCATTGAACCTTGGCGTATTGGGATGACGCGTCAACCAGCTGGGCTCCACTGAACTCTACCCAGCCAGGGTGGGAGTCTGTTTTAAACAGGACAGTCAAGGGAGGTCTCACTGAGAAGGTGACATCTGAGTCAAGACGTCAAAAGAGGTGAGAGAGGGAGCTATGTGGCCACTGGAGGGAAGAGGGGCCCAGCGAAGGGAGCAGGCAGTGCGCAGGCCTGTCTGTGCGGGAGCAGCAGGGGGTGTTGTGGCTGGAGTGGAGTCAGGGGGAGCGCGGGGCAGGTGAGATCAGGGAGGGAAGGGAGAGACCGTGCAGGGCTTGGCGGCCAGGGCAAGGGCTCCGGCTCTTGTCCTGCGTGAGCTGAGAGCTATGGGGGCTTCTGAACAGAGGAGGGACATGCTCATCAGATGGAACATGCATTGCAATCATGCGCCTCCACCACACACCTCAGTCTCATTGCCACCAGCCTCCCCACATACTCTCACCCACCTTTGAACCCAGCCTCCTCCGCACAGGAGCCCAGACAAGGTGAATGGGCTCTAGGGTCTAGGGCAGGCTGGGCAGGCATGTGGGGGACCTGGGGTGGGGGGGCTCGACCCAACCCCCAAGGCCCCTCCTGCTGGTCTTTTGTTTGTTAATCCTCACTTGAGGATATTTTTCCATTGATTTTTAGAGATAGTGGAAGGGAGGGGGAGAGAGAGAGAGAGAGAGAGAGAAACGTCGATGTGAGAGACACATCCATTGGTTGCCTCCCACACATGCCCGGCCAGGGCCAGGGATTGAGCCTGCAACCAAGGCACGTGCCCTTGACCAGAATGGAACCTGGGCCCCTTCGTTCCGCAGGTCAACGCTCTACCCACTGAGCCAAACCGGCGAGGGCTCTCTGTTCTCATCTTAAACATATCCTCCCACCTCTTCCTTCCTGTATCCCCTCTGTCCCCCAAATGGCCCAGACATGGCCATCACCCCCACCCCTCCCCCGCCTGCTTCCCAAACACTGAGTCATGGGCTGAAAGGAACCGGGGATGAGGGGGAGGTGTGCTCCCCTGTCCGGGCAGGGCCCCACCCAGCCCTCCGCCTCGCTCACCTGCAGCTCCTGGAACAGGAGGTCGGCCAGCACCCGGTGGCAGAGCCGGGTCACGCGGTCCAGCGCGCTGGCGGCGGCTTCCCGGGCGGGCTCACTTTCAGGGGGCCCCACCCGGGCCAGGCGCTCCGCCAGAGCCCTGTGGGGATCAGTGAAGCCAACGGTCAGGAGCCCCAACGTTCAGCCCAACTGCCTGGACCTGTCTCCCTCCTTAAATTGACTCTATTTTGTGGGACACAGGGATGAAAGATGAGGTCCTGGGGAGAGTCAGGGGCTCTGGGGAGGGCCTGGGGGCTGGGAGATAGTAGGGACTATCTGGAGGCTGGGGAACTGGGGGGCTCTGTGGAAAGAATGGGGGCCCAGGGGGTGTTGTGGGAGGAAAGAAGTCTCTCTGGGTCTGTTCCTCTCGGTGAGAATGGGGAGGTCTCCATTCTCAAAGCTTGTGATGCTGAACATCTATGGTTCTCAAATTCCACCCTTCTCACTTTTTTAAAAATTTATTTTTTTATTGATTTCAGAGAGGGAGAGAGAGAGAGAGAGAGATAGAAACATCGATGAATCATAGATCTGCTGGGTCCTGCACACCCCCTACTGGGGATCGAGCCCGTCACCGGGGCATGTGCCCTTGACCGTAATCGAACCAGGGACCCTTCAGTCCGCAGGCCAACGCTCTATCCACTGAGCCAAACTGGCTGGGGCTCACTTTCTGACACTGTAGCAGTCTATGACCCTCCAAAGCCGAGAGGAGGCCTGAGGGCAGTTTGGCACTCTCTGCCCAAATCCCAGTGAATCCTTGAGTCCCTGTGCTCATAGGAGTTGACAGATATGCCAGGTGTTTCTCTGCAAAAGACCAGCCCTGGCCGGGTGGCTCAGTTGGTTGGGGCGTCGTCCGTACCAAGTTGATTCTTGTATGTGCCCTGACCAGGCATTGAACCTTGGCGTATTGGGATGACGCGTCAACCAGCTGGGCTACCCACTGAACTACCCAGCCAGGGTGGGAGTCTGTTTTAAACAGGACAGTCAAGGGAGGTCTCACTGAGAAGGTGACATCTGAGTCAAGACGTCAAAAGAGGTGAGAGAGGGAGCTATGTGGCCACTGGAGGGAAGAGGGGCCCAGCGAAGGGAGCAGGCAGTGCGCAGGCCTGTCTGTGCGGGAGCAGCAGGGGGTGTTGTGGCTGGAGTGGAGTCAGGGGGAGCGCGGGGCAGGTGAGATCAGGGAGGGAAGGGAGAGACCGTGCAGGGCTTGGCGGCCAGGGCAAGGGCTCCGGCTCTTGTCCTGCGTGAGCTGAGAGCTATGGGGGCTTCTGAACAGAGGAGGGACATGCTCATCAGATGGAACATGCATTGCAATCATGCGCCTCCACCACACACCTCAGTCTCATTGCCACCAGCCTCCCCACATACTCTCACCCACCTTTGAACCCAGCCTCCTCCGCACAGGAGCCCAGACAAGGTGAATGGGCTCTAGGGTCTAGGGCAGGCTGGGCAGGCATGTGGGGGACCTGGGGTGGGGGGGCTCGACCCAACCCCCAAGGCCCCTCCTGCTGGTCTTTTGTTTGTTAATCCTCACTTGAGGATATTTTTCCATTGATTTTTAGAGATAGTGGAAGGGAGGGGGAGAGAGAGAGAGAGAGAGAGAGAAACGTCGATGTGAGAGACACATCCATTGGTTGCCTCCCACACATGCCCGGCCAGGGCCAGGGATTGAGCCTGCAACCAAGGCACGTGCCCTTGACCAGAATGGAACCTGGGCCCCTTCGTTCCGCAGGTCAACGCTCTACCCACTGAGCCAAACCGGCGAGGGCTCTCTGTTCTCATCTTAAACATATCCTCCCACCTCTTCCTTCCTGTATCCCCTCTGTCCCCCAAATGGCCCAG